TTCGTAGTTCTCTTGTTGCCTTAGACAATTGCCATTCAGAATCGAGCCGAAGTCGGTTTTGACCCAATAGTGAGTGCCAAAGCGGTAATCGCCCGCAAAGCGGAGAGCACGCTCGCGCAGCGTTCAATTGAAAAATTGTTGTTGTTGTTTTGTTTTTGTTCTTGTTGATGGCGTTGTTGATGTTTTTGTTGCCGCTGCTGCTGCTGCTGCTGCTGGTGCTGGTGCTGGTGCTGGTGGTGGTGGTGGTGGTGTCGTTGAGGTCCGTGCTGTGGTCGTTGTCGTTGTTGTTGTCGTATATCGTCAACACGTCCCCTCCTATGGCGCTTCGCGTTCATCACAATATATCTTAAACACGCTCCTCATGTGGCGATTCTGGCTCATCATATAATATACCTTAAACACGCCTCCCCTCCCCAATTGGGCGCGACCGCTTCACCATATTATCAAACACGCCCCCTGATCACATATCTGGAACACGCACCCGTCATTTGCCAATTCCGATTCTTCATATTCTTCACTTTCGCTAAACTGCAAAATCTGCCCCCAACTTTTCACAGACCCGCGGCTGCGGCAGGGCTGAAAAAGAGAGCGGGGGGTTTTAACCACAATGCCTCTATCAGGGGTTCTGAAAGGATCCATATGTGCGCTGTTTTTGCTGGCAGGACGTGTCATGTTGACGCGAACTTGCACGGCGGCTTAAACAAGCTGGGTGGGGGGCCTGACAAAGCAGCGCAAAACACTGACAGGGAGCTTGTTATCTGTGAAGGATTGTCGCTGGTGTCTTGATGCGTGCCTGTGAAGGCACTTTGCATTCGTGCACACACAGACACACACGCACGTACTTAACAGACACTCTAGATATATTGTATTATTATTATTGTTGTTGTTGTTGAGCATATATCTTAAACACCGGGGGACCGGAGGACCAGAAGACAAGGGGCGTAGGCCAACCCTACCAAGGGCCCCAACCCAGGAAGAAAAGCCAGGGCCCTGCTGAGCAGCAGAAGCCATAAAACACAAAAGCAATCGAAGTCCACCTTCGCGGTGCCGTGGAACTTGGGAGAACCTCGCTGCTGCTGATTCAGCTGGGAGGGGTACAACTCTCATTTCTGGTTGTCGACAGGAACAAGCACCCGTCGTGCGCTCGATTGCTCAATTTCAGCTAAAGCCGCATGATGCTGTCACATCCCACTGGTGAGTGTCCTTAGTTTCTCAATCTCGCACATCTGCCAAATGCAAACCGAACTAGTAATTGTGTTGCCTACATCACCATAACCTCCGCCTGCGCATGTCGACCCAAACCTTCGGAGCTTACAACACTGGAACAAATGGATCGCAACAGCTTGCGGTGTCTTGCCTCGTTGTATGCCACAAGTACACCGAGTTGATCCGAGTTGACGACGGCGATGACCGGCACTGCCGCAACAGCTATTCCTGTCTGCATTGACCAAGCGGCAAGGTTGGACTCCTTGACATGGTAACCCAGGGTGTCTGACGGCGTCTTGCAGGTAACCACACGGGTCTCAGCACAGCAGCATGCAGCAAGAGCTTTCCGGAGATTGACCTGCGACTTCGGGCACCATTATCTAAGTTCCTGACGCAGCCTGACAGGTAGTAGATCATATCAGGCTTGGTGCAGATCTTGACGTGGGCGTGCCCATAGAAGCGATCCGCACACGTTGCCGTGACATCGAAAGATGTCCAATGCACGCTGTTCTCAGTGACCTTGTACCCAACAGCATTCTTCGGAGCAAAGCATGGCTCGTCAATGGTGGTGGTAGTCGTGGTGGTCGTGGTGCTTGTGGTGGTGGTAGTCGGCAGACAGCCATCCTCAATGGAGAGGTTTGTGTTTGCGTGATTCAACATGCGACGAACATGTCACGTACTGACCTGCACCAAGTGACTTGGTCATATGCCTGGCACCATACAGCCGTGCGCGGATTTAATACATGCATGTGCGTCCCATGCAACACACTAACTCCATCCCCAACTGAATTCAGTTCCAGCACTGGCATCACTGGAGCATGCCTCCGAACCTCAAAGTTATGTCAATGTGGCCCTGATGTCAAGTTGCAATCTTGTATGGCAACCCATGACCATCGCACTTCTCCACTTTGGCATCGCCAACGTAGCCGGATGCACATGAAACGGTTGCACTGAACCTACGTCCACGCGTCGCAACGTTACCGCACTGTTCATCGCGGGATGCTGCGCTTATGAAGCGAGTCTAGGCTGGTCTGTTGGTTCCATCAATCTCTGCGAGTTGTCTAACATGCAGCAGGCAACGACGGCTTGGAAGATCAGTCAGATTCGATGCCACTCACTTGCAGTTGAGCTGCTTCCAAAGCTCCAGCTCTTGCACCGTCAGATCGTATCCCGCGGTTTCGGTAGGATCGATGCATGTGTCAGGCTCGCAGCCTGAAATGCCTTGACACGGTTACGGCTCTCGGGAGGCTTGAGCCCCACGTCTCTAGTTACTCCAGCTCCATCTTTGGACAAAGAGCCGTAGGGCAAGCCGTTGTCGTCACACTCGGTTACCTTCGCAGCGCCGTGGTACAGTGCTGCACACTGTGCCTTGACATCCCAGTTGTGCAGTTCCTCGGACGGGCTGCTGTGCAGAACTACTGACGAATATGTAGACCATCTTCCTTCCAAACATGCATCTATAAAGTCTGCGCCAGGTACAGCGGCTTTCCCCTTCCCTAAATACATTGAACCGAAAGCAACACCCAGTTCAAGCTCAGTATCGGTGCCAGTCTCGGTGATCACGTAGCCTCGCGTGGTGGCCGGAGTCTTGCAATTGATATACTTCGCCTTAGCTCGAAAATCTACTCGACAACATCAAATCAGAAACCTCTGCCCTAGGTTCACCTGGTTCCTCTGAGGAGAGAGCACAACCATGGATCAAGTAAGGCTTCTCCTTGTCCGTGCACACCTCGACCTTCGCGTGCCCGATGTATGTCGGTGTGTCGCATTTGACCACAACGTCGAATGAGGACCACCAGAGGCTCTTCTCGTCGATGATATATCCCACAGCATTTGGAGGTGACAAACATGTACCGTGAATGGTCGTGGTCGTAGTTGTTGTTGAAGTCGTCGTGGTGGTTGTGGTCGAAGTAGTTGTCGTCGTTGTGCTGGTTGTTGTAGTGGTTGTCGAGGTGGATGTCGTGGTGGTTGTTGTCGTAGTACTGGTTGTGGTAGTTGTCGTGCTTGTGGTTGTTGTTGTAGTTGTTGTGCTTGTGGTGGTCGTGGTTGTTGTTGATGTTGATGTGGTCGTGGTGGTAGTCGTTGTGGTTGTAGTGGTCGTGGTGGAGGTGGTAGTTGTTGTGCTGGTTGTGGTGGTGGTTGTGCTTGTTGTTGTGCTGGTGGTAGTGGTCGTGCTAGTCGAGGTAGTGGTTGTGGTCGTGCTCGTCGTAGTGGTCGTTGTAGTGGTGCTGGTGATCGTCGTAGTTGTTGTGGTAGTCGTGGTGGTAGTGCTGGTTGTTGTGCTTGTGGTCGTAGTAGTGGATGTCGTGGTAGTGGTCGTCGTTGTGGAGGTTGTGGTCGTTGTCGTCGTCGTCGAAGTGGTTGTCGTAGTGCTAGTGGATGTTGTAGTAGTGGTAGTTGTGGTGCTCGTCGTTGTTGTTGTCGAGGTTGTAGTCGTCGTTGAGGTAGTGGTGGTCGTGGTGGTACTGGTTGTGGTGGTGGTGGTCGTTGTGGAGGTGGTTGTGGTTGTGGTAGTAGTTGTGCTGGTGGTCGTAGTGGTTGTAGTGGTGGACGTAGTGGTCGTGGTTGATGTCGTGGTAGAAGTGGTCGTGGTAGTTGTGGTGGTGGAAGTGGTGGTGGTGGTTGTAGTCGTGCTAGTGGTAGTCGTCGTGGTCGTGGTTGTGGAGGTGGTCGTTGTGGTTGTCGTTGTAGATGTGGTGGTCGTCGTTGTGGTTGTGGATGTCGTTGTTGTGGTGGTCGTGCTTGTCGTCGTCGTGGTCGTAGTGGTGGAAGTGGTCGTACTGGTGGTCGTGGAAGTTGTAGTTGTTGTTGTGCTGGTGGTTGTGGTCGTAGTCGTTGTCGTTGTCGTCGTTGAAGTAGTCGTCGTAGTTGTGGTTGTCTGAGTTGATTCTCTAATTCTCTAGAGCACGAGAAGCGTAAGCTTTCATGCGTGCGTACCAGCAAACAGATTCAGAAGCATGCATCAACAACTTTCCCGACGCACAGCGACCAGCGCTGGAATTGCTACAAGACTTGTGACAACCTGATACTGCTACCGACAACTTGCTCCACACCCGCTGGACTCCAGGATCTGCAACCCAGCCACTGTGGTTGTGGTCGTCGTTGTTGTGGAGGTGGTTGTTGTAGTACTGGTTGTCGTAGTAGTGTCGCAGCCCCACAGAGTGTATTCTTGTCCATTGGAAGGGCATACCTCCGCAGTGGCCGTGCCGTAGTAACCTGCGAGAAAAGATGGTGCAATGACTGACGCTAGTTTTCTGCGTGAAAGCCCCGAAGATCACCATGCTTTGCTGCCAACCGGCCGTTCTCATTGTCGCAAACAGCATCGGCAGTGAAGAAGGGACGCTGTACATCCACCGCTTTGACGACGTAACCGGTGAGCGTAGCAGGTGCAATGCACTTTTCCGGATCGCAGCCAGACCTGAGACACCCTCATGGGTGGCTTTCACGACAATCTCATCCAAAAACAGCTTTTCAATATGACTGTGGGGCTGTGAAGCCTCAACAACTTAAGCGACCAGATGCCACGTTCACAAATCGGCTGAACCCTCTAAGCCGTCGGCAGCGCGTAGGCTTCGCCATGGGCTTGGCAGGCTGTAACTTTTGCGACGCCTTGCAGGAGCATCTTCACAGGAGCAAAAAAAGCCACGGAGCTTTATCAAGATGTCTGCCTAGTGTCCAGATGATGAGCCGGTCCAACCATTGGGAAGCTCCACACCGCTAAAACAAGCTAGCACCTAGAAAACATGGTAGTTGCAATCGGAAGCTAACTTTCCGACTTCACCATGTGCAAGTACAGTTGTCTTCGAACACCGCTTAATCTTCGAAAAGCATCATCAAAACAAGAAGTACACAACTGCAACTACAAAAACGACAAACTTTGTACTGGTGGTGCCGGAACTAGTGCTAGTAACTGTAATGGTAGTAGCATCGTGGTGGTGGTGGTGTCGGTGGTGGTAGTGG